CAGCTAGTGCGGGTGATGAATAACATCCGAAGTAACAAAGCTGTATCCAAGTCCACAGCCATGGCCTTGTTAGACGTCGAAAAGGCGTTTGACAATGTCTGGCACGACGGACTTATATACAAGCTTTGTAACTCCAACTTTCCACCATACCTTGTGAAAATCACCCGTAACTATCTCCAGCAAAGGTCGTTCAGGGTGTCGTTGAATAGTTCCCTTTCGGGACAATTTACGATCCCAGCAGGTGTTCCGCAAGGGAGTCTGCTGGGACCACTGCTTTACAGCATCTACACGTCGGACATCCCTCCTCTAGGAGACGGTTGCGTGTTCTTTCTGTTCGCAGATGACACCGCGATAGCCGTCAAGGGTAGGATGCCTCGTGAAATTACGAACAAGCTGCAACGATGCCTTGACACCTTTACTGATTATGCCACCTCGTGGAAAATCAAAATCAACGCCTCGAAAACCCAAGCGATCATGTTCCTTCACAGACAATCACCAAAACTTAAACCGTCTCCCTCCTGTACCGTAATAATGGATGATACAAGGGTCGAGTGGTCCACTGATGTTACTTATCTCGGGATGTTGTTCGATGAGAAGCTCCTGTTCCGCTCGCACATAGAGAAAACCCTAGTTAAGTGCTCCGCCTTGGTTAGGTGTTTGTATCCGCTCATTTGCCGCAGATCCCGCCTCTCAAGGCAAAACAAACTGGCTGTTTACAAACAGATCATAGCCCCCGCGATCTTCTATGCCACCCCGGTGTGGGAATCGTGCGCTCAGACCCACAGGAACAAAATCCAGGTTGCACAGAATAGAGTGTTGAGGATGATCCTAGATCGTCCATTCGACACAAGAATAGCAGACCTCCATCAAGAGGCAGAAATTCCCAAAGTAGATTCCAAAATTGATGATATGACAACTAAATTTATTCAAAAATGCAATCTTTCTGAACATGCTTTAATAAGCAATTTGTACATAGTAGGTTAAGTGTATATAGTAGAGTAGGTTAGTTTTAAGCTGTCAATAGTAGTATTAAGTAGTTTCTCTTCAAATTCTAAAAACAAAACTTACCAATCCCACCAAGGTGGTCAACCGTGTACTAAGTCTAGGACTAATTCTGTAAAACAAATTTTGAATTTTGCCCATACCTAAAGATGATGAAGAAATCACTCAGAAAAATGAATATGGTAATCATCCAAATTGAACTGAAATAAAGATCATTTAAACTAACTAACTAAATGGCATTAGCTCATTTTCGCTTCGGACGGCGTGTTGAACAGCAATAGCAGCAGTAGGAAGGTGGTGGCTAGTCCACTCCTTCACACCTAACAAGCAACAATTGATCATTTTGTCCATCAGATGTCACAGCTGTTGTTTGCGGTGACATCTATCGGTAACTAGACACAATCTGTTTTCCTATAATTGTTCACAGAGGACACTGCAGTGCAAAACATGTCTGGTACCTCTATATATGCATTTAGATTATTCCTTTTTTACACATTCTGCACACAAAATAGCTCACCCCTCACAGAATTTCCCGAATTTTTTTTTATGAATGGGGCGGGTCAGAAACTATCTTTTGCGGAGAATATTTAAAAAAGGAGGGACTTCAAATGTTAAAGTAAATACGTATATAGAGGTACCAGACTTGGATCAAAATTCATCATGCGATAACTACAGTGACTACACGCAAACCACAAATCTATTACATTGATTGCTTGTTGCATTTCCTAATATGAAAGTGGTAAGGGGCTGTTCATAAACTACGTAGACCGATTTTTATGGGTTTTAACCCCAACCCCTCACCCGCGTAGACAATCTTTTTTCTTTACCACCCCCCCCCCCCCCCCTAAAGAGTCTACGTAGTTATGAACAGCCCCTAAGCAGATGTGTAAACTAGACCTGTGCACCTATCAACATATTTTCGGCGGCGTCGTGATATGTTATTTTCTGCCGGTGGCGGCATGGCGGCGTCACGCCGTTTGCTTTCGGCGGCAGCGGCGTGGCGGCGTGGCGACGTGGCGTCGTGGGTCGGCGTGAGTTTATTTTTAATGATTTAGAAAAAAAATACTTTCCAAACCAAACGCACATGGACAAAAAATGCTACCCACATTTGAGTTCAGATTATTCTAAATCGCCAAAAAATAGGTCACTCATAGTTTGAGCAAATTTTTCACCACTTTCCCGGGGAAAACTTCTCGAATATGGGGAAAAATTAAGAAAATTGTACGCAGGTTAGAAGTGTATTAGTAGACAGACTAAAACCACAATCAGTTTTCCTCATATTCGAGAAGTTTTCCTCGGAAATGCGTCGGAAAATTTACTCATTATATGAGTGACCTACGTTTTCGCGAATTTGAGTAACCTGAACTCTAATATGAGTAACTCTTACTCAATTTTGAGTCGTTGAGTTTTTGCTTAGAAAAGTATGTCAAGTGCTTGTTAGTGGAGTCGTATGGCAAAGTGTTACAACTCTTTTATTAAGTATAAGAAAAGTTTGAATTTTGTGTTTGTTTTGCATGTACACGAATTGTAGTCGTATAGCTTTTTGTTTATGTATTTGAAGATGATGTATTTCGGATATACGTAGATTCCCGCACAACTTGGACCTGTGAGAGATTAAAGAAAGTGCTTTAACAACCTCCTGTAAACCGCTATATAGCCATGTCATGGCCAATTGGCCCAGTTTTAATGCAATCATTAAACTTGATATGCGAACTACCTTAGGAGCATAGGTTTTATGTTAGTTTTATGACACTCTACACGTGGTTGTTAAAAATGAAAGCATAAAACCTCCTACTAGTCTGAAAGTTTTAACAACCTTTTGATGATTACCATAAAACTATATTACAACCGCATAAATCGCTCCTGAAGAAGTAAGTAGGTAAAACATGATATGCAAAACATGTTGACAACCGTAAAGGTATTAAGTTGGGTTTATTTGGATGATAGCAGATAACATATGTGGAACTTCATGCAAAAAGCTGATTCAAAACTAACCCTTTTTTTGTTTTGCCTCAGTGGTATAACTGGCATAGTTGAACATCGATCTGTCAAAATAAAATTTTCGTGATATCGACACTGAGCGTTCATAAGGACCAATGTCGAAAACATAAATAATGGCTTCTTTTGTAAATATCTCGTAGGTCAAAGTCAATCCATGTAAGCCACTAATTTTATCGAATAGGACTCTTTCTCTACACGATCATAGTGTTGGTTTTCTTGAGTGAGTTTTCATTTTCGAGAAATTCACGCAAAAAGTAATTGTTTACGTTTACAGCATTGGCCCTTACGAATGTAAGCATTGACCCTGCAACTTTTTACTCCTGGTAAAATCCCATAAGCATCTGACAATATGTGCATGAAATCTAGCGGACTTTGTCTTTCTCTTCATTCCTCCAGCAAGCCACCGTTTCTTCACGCAAAGATTGACAGTATCATATGGGATTTTCAAAGGAGTGAAAGGGTAAGGAAATGTTGACCAAGTTTCACGCACAGACTGGTTTTTGCTTATAGGATTTAACTAAAGAGCCTAAATTTATAAAGAGGCGACATGTCGAAATTGTAACAATCGATTGCCTGTCAAAGTCATAGTAAAAGCCATTCCAATCGAACAGAAGACCTGTCAAATGGGTAAGATGTCGTCTCTTTATAAATTCAGGCTCTTTAGATTTAACCATAGGAGTGAAGAGTTACAGAGTGACCGAAGAGGCGAATTGTCAATAGTCACGGTAATGCGTAATGAGATGTGTGTAGCTCCTCCTTTGCCTTTTCGATCAACAAAGATCAACCTTACCACGTTTTTTTGGAGAAATTTTCAATTGACGGCAGTTGAGAAACATAGGGAGTGTTGAAATCTTGGATATTGCAGGTATTGATAAGCGCTCGATATCATTTGGGACTTCTGAATCTTGTTCCAAATTTTGCTGCTGCTCTCTGGACTTCAAAATGTAAGCACTTAATTCCTAATTCACGTGGTCGTGTTTTTCCTCCTACGAAACCTAATGAAATCAAAGTTTGATGCAATTGGTTTCAAAAAATTAGAAAATGTAAAGAAATGAATATTAAAATATACACACAAAGAAAATTTTACAGATTTCTGTAAAATTTTACCGAAATCTCAACAGCTGAATGTTCGGTAAATTTTTTTACAGTTTTCCTGTAATTATTTACAGATATCTGTGAAAAATTTGAGATTTCGGTAAAATTTTACAGATTTCTGTACAAATTTCTAGGTGTGTATGGATATTTTTAATTTTCTACATTAGCACCATAAATTAAAGAATCATTAAAAGCTTATCTATTTAGTACAAAACTGTTATTACTTATAATTATTATTATTACTTATTATGTAGCTTCCAAACGTACATGATTTAGAATTTCTCTGATTTTTAAAATTGGGATGAGCCACGCTTTTTAAGTGTCCTTATATTAATTTCCACTAGTGTATAGTCTCATTTTAACTAAGTCCAAGCAAAAATTTTGGTAATTGAAGGCTCATGCGTTTTGAAGCTTTTGTGGAGATTTCGATGAATTACTATGGAAAATTTTAAATTTCACTAAAATCGCTATAATTTTGGTTAAAATCCTACCAAAATTATTTATGGCAATAATCAACAATATTGTAATGAAGTTGATTATTGCAATTTATCGCATTTCTTTCTCCCATTAATTGCTACCAACCTAATCCTAACAAAGGCAGATTTATTTAGCATTATCATAGCAACAATACATTCAATTTTGACAGCATTTGAGCACATAGAATCAAGCTTAGAGCGATATAAGAACAATTTTAAAAATCTTCCATTGTAAACTCCATACAAGCTTTCAACCATTTGCGTGCCCCCAAACCTTCATCAATCTTTACATTTTTGCATAAACTCATATTTTGGGGTTATGAATCTGATTGGAGGGTGGCTGCCATGTTTGGCAGCAGTGACCATGCGTCTCCATGGATGGAACAGAAAGTCCTTAACTAGATGCGATTTGTTTCCCCATTTCAGACAAATATAGCGAAAATGAAATGCGCTTCCGTTGGAAAAACGACAATGGCCTCACGTTTCCCAAGGATTTCACCGACGGGTTCTTCCGGTTGCCAAAATACGTCGTCTCGTTCTACACCGAGCAGGACCCCCAAACGATCCATTACGGTGAAGGTGTCCCATTGTAGCGCACTTGATTCAATCAATGTTTGACTTAAATACGGTGTCCTCCCCGCAGATAACCACAGTTCCGCCCGGTTGGAGATAACCCTTTCGCGCGAAGTCAAGAGCTACCTGTTGGAGAACTACCTGCCCTCGACGTTGTTCGTGTCCATGTCCTGGGGTTCGTTCGTCGTCGTCCCGGAGATCGTCCCAGGCCGGATGGTCCTGCTGGTGACGACTCTCCTCTCGCTCATCACCATGTTCGACACGGTTCGGAACAACTCGCCGGATGCACTGGAGCTCAAGTGCCTGGAGGTAGCATCAATCATATTCACACATTCCAGTAGTTCGATGTCATTTGGTGGGTGGGGTGATTCATCCATCTTTTTCTTCTAGGTGTGGCTGATATCGTGCACGCTGTTTGTGTTTTTCGCGCTGATGGAGTATTTTATAGTGCTCTTCGGCATTCGGTACGATAAACACTGGCGGGTAGCAGCCAAGGTCCACCACGTTCATGTCGCGCCTCCGGTGCAGCTCCAATCGACGCTCAGCGTATCGCAGAACACCGTCGAGACGCCGGTGGGTCATTTTATTGCCTCTCCCAACGGGATTCCTTTTACAACATGGTTGCATCTAATTTTCCTTTTCCTTTTACGGTAGATGAACTCCAGTCACGCTCCGCAGCGTGAAAATGGACTGGAAAGCACCGGGCTCAAGGTGACGGGAACCAACAAGGTGCAACCGCAGGAGGCAGACGCATCCAAGGCCAGTTCCATAGGGAACCTGTCGGGAAATTTCCAAACCACTCAACACGTGACTTCCGTTATGACCCGAAGGCGGTAAGATGCTTAGGTTTAGTGTACGATCACAAGATCCAACCGATGATAACACGATCTTAGTGTTCACAGCTTCCGCAACGTGGCCGACGTGGCGCTGATGTATGCCGGCTCGCAACGTGGCCGGTTGGACCAAATCTCGCTGATAATCTTCCCGCTAAGCTTTCTCATCTTTACAATCGCCTACTGGACAATGTACATCAGCGAATCGAACGTTCGGAAGAAGATGTAATCACACATCAAGTCTTTCTTTTTTTTTATATAAATATAGAACAAACTCCAATCAGCTTTGTATCTACTAAATCTCGTTCGGTAGTTGACTAGTCGATAGGGTAGTAATAGAGAAACTGAGAGTTCTAAAGGATACATAAATCAAAGCAACAAAACAAAGTTATACAATCGACTTCGCCTTCAAAAAGTATTTTTCTCTAGTCAATTTACTTTTAAAAGTGACAATGTACACCAAACAAAAGATGAACCAAATGCCTTTAATCATTGTACAGCATTCATGTAGTTAAACTAAAGAGTATATTGTTTTAGTTAGATCAGTTATGTTACGCCTCATTATTCGAATTCAAATCGTTGATAAGAATTTTATTAATAAAGTACCATTGTAAGATACATTTCAAAGCAAGGTGTGTTTAGCTGAAAAGAAAGACCCTACTGGAGAGCTTTTTTTAACTTTAAATTAATTTGTATGGTTTACATGTATGATTTTTTTTTTTATGTGGCACAGATGCATCTTTTCAACTTTAGTCCATTTGAAATTTTTAATTATTATTTAAAGTTCCTACTGTGTTACCTGACTTATATCGAATATACGTTGTATACGAGTACCCCGAATACAACGTATAGTTCGTGTAATTTTACATTGCAAATGCTTTGCAAAATTAGACGAGCCATACGTTGTATTCGGGGTACTTTTACAACGTATATGCGTTATAAGAAGGGTAACACAGTAGAATGACCACGCAAAATAGTTTTAATTGCATGCTTTGTAAATGCTTTATAAACGACGTATTAGATTCATTATTCCACAACACTGGTTCAGTCTAACAACAAGACGGAATCAGTAGAGTAGTGGTTACCGGTTTACCGGCTTTCCAAGTAGAAGGTCGCGAATTCAATCCCAAGCTCAACCCTTTTTTATTTGTGTTCTAAATCGTAATTATCGATCACATCATTCACGACAACGAATTCATTGATTTAGTTTAATAAATAGCCCAGCATCCTTTCCTTGGAAATCGGAGAGGTGAAGAGGTAGAATTGGTCTCATGTAAAACAACGATGAATGAATTAATGATTCCCACACTGCACCTTGGGACGATCGGCAGTGCTGATAGGTATTCAGTTTCAAGCAAGCTTTTGTTGAATATTGAGCAGCTTTTATGATATATTCTAGGAGATGGCAAGGCAAGCGGCTGGTAATCGGAAGGTACATGGTTCGAAACCAGTGCTGCGATTTGTCATTGTCATTGACAGACTTTCGCGCGATATAGACAAAATTGTTTATCACGTAGTCACTGATATATGTGATCTTCAAAAAAAAAAACCATTGTCAAAATATCATTCATTTTTTCATCAAAGCAAAGATCCACTTGTCAACAAAACGTTTAGTTTTGTGCATTCTGTGTTACAAAATTGTTATCCACGCAGTTCAGGACGTAGATGCTTGTTCACTTAAAGGGCTCTACGTTAATGTTTTGCTCAAGTCATGTAATTTCGTTAGAAATTTAGCTAATAAAAAAATCTGCATGTCAGTGACGACAGCATTGTCAGGTACAGCATTGTCCCGTACAGCATTGTCACTGACAATAGACAAGTGCACGGGTGAACTTTTGTTCATCTACTGAAAAAAAAATTGACACAACAGCGGGGGCCTGTTTACCTGGGTACTGCGGACTCACTCAATGTGCTTGTCACTTGGGAGCCAGTCAGAACTATCAAATGGGAGCCAAACATTCAGAAGCAATAAACTCAGTTACCTTTCTTACCTCTCGTCAAGCATTCCCTAATAAAATAACCACAAAAAAGAGCTTAACGACGTGTTCGGGGTATCATCCAAACCTTTTGTGTGGATAGTGTACCCATCTGGGATACAGTTCGTTTATGGTATTGGTTTATTAGGGTTGCAATCGCATAAAAATGATTCATACTTTTTCATAACACATTATTAATTGTAAGCTCAAAGACAAAAACCAACAGGCTCAATGATGAAAGTATAAAAACCAGCATAGTTTTTATGACTCAGCTGTGTTTTCAATTGCAGTAAAACATACTTTGGCGAAACATGTATGTAAACAAACTCCGGGCTCAGAGCTTTTGGTGGGAATCAACTGAGAAAGAACAAAAAAAATTTAAACTTGAACAAATTTTCAAGCGGTTTTCCATTGGCTTGCAAAATGAAATCGATTTACTCCGCAGTACTCAGCTGTTTACTAAAAATGAACACATCGACAGTGAGCATGCATAAGCGCCTATACGCGATGATCGATTCTCTTCGTCGATTTTCTCTTTTGTTAATAACTCGCTAGATTTAACGTTTCTCGGTGCGTTTGGTGTTGCTTTTAATAGCCAATACAACCTGTTACTACTCTGCATTGAACAAATTCTAGAAAATTGTTTCGCTTAGCTGTAGCAATGCAAAGAGAAAATCGATGAAGAGAATCGATCATCGCGTATTCGCCCTTATGCATGCTCACTGTCGACATGCATAATGCTCGCGTAACATTTGAAAATGGCCTATAAACTTTTGTAAATAATTTGCTGTCCTTTTCACGAGAACCGAAGTACGCCCACGCAAACTAAGAGCACTATCGGGAAGGGGAGAATTTCCTCTACCCTACACTCAAAAAATTCTACACGTCATCATCATGCGTCTCACACTTAATTTTGCGCTTATTGTGAAACACATCCATTTCATGTGTGAATCTTATGCTATGAACCATGCCTGAACACTATGGATTTGAATTGTGATACACTTGGATTATATGTGGTGATATCAATAGCTTTACACATCATAGTTCAATATTCTACAATATTCTACTTTATCGACTTCTACTTTGCCGACCCTAAAAATGAATCGACAAATATATAAACAAAACTGCCAGAAGCAAAGAGCTTACACATATCTTTTTAATGGGTCTGATTTGGGATTCGATCATGGACTGTTGGGATGTGCTCCCAAGTAACAATTTTGGTTTTATAAGGTTTCTGAAGACCGTGATTTAGACTTGTAGCATGCTTTAAAACCTCGATAAAACTTTCAATGTTACTTGGGCTGCTGCCGGAGTCTTCGTTCGATCCCACTGTGCCACGGTTGTTCTCATATATATGAGGCGGGTTGATAGGATAAAGTCACAACTCTTGTTTTCGATGTTTACCTTTCTGAGCAAGCAATTCACATCGCATTGAAATGCAAAACACTTTAAATCCATCTCTTTTGAACAGTAGTGTGATTCAATGTACAATACACATTAATAGATAATGAAAGATTTTCAACATTTCAAAGTTTGAAACACTAGAAATTAACGTGTATAACACTTTGAACCAAGGTGTTGCGGTCGGGGTAACCTTTCGGAAATCTCTGTAGCAAATTCACCCTTTTGCCGGTAAGGATCAGCTCAAAGCTGCAAATTTATTGGTAAGAAAAGGTGCATGGTAGAATAACAAAGTTTACTTACATTTGGACTCGTAATTGGTTATTTAATTTCAAATTTAGGTTTATACTTATGTAATTTATAATTTAAGTAAAAATTCTTCAATTCACGTTGCTTTCAAAACAATAATATTCGTATCAATGCTTATCACCAACTTTGATAATTCGTATTCGCATTTATACGTCCTACTCACACTATCGTGTCCAAACGGTTGAAGCTTTCGGGGGGCGCGTCGATAGACGCATTCGTCGCAACACAAGGTGAAATACACTTAAAGTAAATGTGATTGTACATTTAAAAAATCAAGTGTTTAAACACTTCGATCAAACGTGTGGAATTTTTTGAGTGTATGATGTTGTTAGTTTGCGTGAGCGTATTCGGTTCGCGCGAAAAAGGGCCTAACAAGTTTTGTGTACAAAAGGTGATAGGCCCGTTTCAAATGTTACACGAGTATTATTCATGTCTTCATTTTTATTAAACAGGGCCCCGCTGTTGTGTCACTTTTGTCGAGTGAGTGTTCTCAAATCCATCTGTGCACTCGTCTATTGACTTTCTTGACGATGACTTTTAGCTCAAATGAGTGACCAAAGCAGAATTTTGAATGTCGCCGTGTATAGAGATTAGCGACATTTAACGCACGCACACTAGCGGGTGCACCGGCGTGTAAAGTTGTTTATTATTTTCCTCTGGTTAACCTAAAAAATGTATGAAATTAGATCTGCCGAAATGAGTTTGACAACGATTTGTTATGTATTTTCCTCGGATTTTCACTAACACGTTCTCACATATCGCACCAATACAACCGGACATGAAAATCTCTATCCAGCATTTTACGAGCGCTTATGGCCGCCACAATCTGACTGAGTTTTTGGAAGGGAACATATGATTTGACGTTTGGGTTGTATCGTTTGACGTGTAAACGTTCAAATTTGAACGTTTACACGTCAAACGACACAAGCCAAACTTCAAATCTTATGTTCCCTACCAGAAACTCAGCCAGATTGTGGCGGCCATAAGCGATCGTAAAATACTGGATTGTCGAGATTTTGCAGCACTGTTCTAAATATCGCTTAAGTTTGCTGCGTACCGAACATCTGCAACGTTGTCAGCGTTGTTGCTTTGATGTTGAGTACGTGTATTCAGCTATATGTCAAACCCCTGTTTTAAACCCATGCAACGGACATGTATATGTATGTAATAAATTTTCTAGTATCCGTGTGGTGTGTGCTTCGTCGGAAATAATGAAAACAATCTCTAAAGAAAAGACAACTCTGTCTGTCCCTACCGTTCTTTATTTTTCGGGTTAATTTTCCTGCAGTTGAATAATCGTCTAAAAATAAATGTTTAATAGTGTCTAATTTAAACGTTACTTCTCGGGGGCGACCCTGCGTAGTGGCTAACATCCATAATTCTCACGCCAAAGTCACGAATGACCCAATGGTGTTAAAGTGACTATTAGAATAATAAAAAAAAATAAATAAACGTTACTTCACATGATAATCAAGCGTATACATCATCGCTGTTTAAGGAAGCAAAGATGTCCAATAAACGCTGAATAATAAAACATTTGATCGAATAAGCTCTGTTACAACCCATGGAAGTCGAATAAAAGCTTCTCGACATACACATACT